AAAAAACACACAAATCATCAAAACTAATCTGATTATATACAATACAATGTAATTAAGTAACATTAATATCTCCACATAAAACGTAACAATTTAGCGATTGTGTTTGTCTGTTGCACAACAAACTCTTTAAGTGACTCAAAACGGACATAAATCCTCTGAATTCCCTTCTCACTCCCCCCCCCGCCCCCTCTAATCTCCCAAAAATGAATATCAAACTTCTAATGTTGTCAAAACAGTCCCTCAAGACATCACTACACCATCCACCCATCTAATCCATCTAAATTCCCTCCACCTCCCATTGCCTATCGCCATTCAAAGTCCTTTCCATCTAAAGTATCAAACATGAAAGTATTCACGAATCAACAACAATACAACATCATGTATCGTAGTCTTCATCATCGGGAGCGCGTCTCTTCAGCACACTACTAATCGCTTCAGGTTTTGTCTGACGTGGTGTTTCTGTGGGTCGATCCGAATCCTCTCGTTGTGAACGACCCAGCTGATCGGCCACTTCTTTCAGACGTTCACGGCTCTGAAAAAAAAAGAACAATGATCCACTTCACATGAACAAATCACATGATTTCCTGATAAGCTAGCTCCTCCAAAATGTCCACAACATAAATCCCAACAACATTTCAATTCCATTTCAAATTCTGCTCAAACTGTTTTGAACAGCTAACAGAACTAAACATAGCGTTTTCACATTAATTCAAAGATGACATTCTGAAAAATTTCCTCTGCTCACTGCACCATGTAATTCACAATTGGAGACATTCCTTTCTTCTTATTCACCGGATATTTTCAGAATGTTTTGTTGTTTTTTGGAAGAGAGAAAATCTGAACAATTTATAGTATTCACTGATGGTCTTGACATAATTCAAAAGCAAAACCGGGCAAATAATTCAATCAATCGAAGCTCATCATCACCTTCCACTGCATGTTTGGCTGTACTAAACAAAATCGATCGTTCGGTAATCGCATTCCGAAGTTCTGTCGAATCGCTGGTAAAGGAACGGAATTTTTTTGTTCGGCCAACTCCAGCATAAACTGTCGATTATGACGAATACCACGCCATGACGCATCTAAAAATGCGTAACTGAACGCGACAACAAAAATGAACAGATCGAAGCGATTATTGATCAATACAATTACCATATGGATGAGCACCATTTAAACATTTCCTATTAATTCCAGTCAAACATGTGAAACATTTTGGATCAATTCAAGAAAAATTCGTTCGTTCTTCGTCCTGATCGAACCAATTCCAACCATGCTCATCTCACACGAACAAAAACTAATGACAATATAAGGGTGTTTGTTGTAAAGACCAGAATATTAATAATAATAATAATAATAACAATAATCATAATAAGAAGCAAACAATTACTAGCGTTATCAATGGCAAACTGCACGTCAGCTTCATCGATCAGCTTCTTGCCAGCATGTTCACTCAACGATCGCGCATCTTCTAACAGTTCCGTTGTATATCTCAAACAAACCTCATCATTTTTATTCTGCATTCATCTATAATATCAAATCTGCAACCATAACCCATCAACAGGAATTAAATCGCTCCGTTATCAACAATGATTAAGCTTCCGTTATTTACAACACAGGCAACTCTACAAAATCGGAGAGCATGCGCCCTCTTCAACTTCGTTTTCAAGCCTCCTTTGTGCTGATGACTGCCACAGAAGAGAGCTATTTCTCTCGTTATTGCTATGTACTCATTTTGATCATCATAGGGAACAGTACCAATATCATAAACAACAAACAGTTTAACTATGAATCATCATCTAATGCTGCTGACCTCAAACACGTCCGTTGCATTCATTCAAATTCCTCTAACTTCCTGAAGTTATGCGAACTACTAAAGGAATGAACACTCATGCCATAGGCCTGATCACAAGCACACCTTTTACATTTCATATTCCTTTTTCATATCGATCAACTGCTAGCAACAAACAAATTCACATTTACTGGCAAAAACGTGAATTTAGAATTATTGGAATCAATCGTAATGAAGATGTAATTCATACCGATAAGCGAACTCGAGTAGCTGTGAAACAATTCTTGGTTCATAATCTGTCACACCCATTTCTTTGAGAATATTCTGCATTACGACCGCATCATGCGGGATTGATTGGCTCATCTTTGCTCTAAAATGTCTACAGCTGACAATTTCATCGACACAATTGATAGCAATAAATTCGCAAACGCTTATCATTTTGTCGATCAACAATCATGAATTCTTTAAGTTAATCTGTATGAAAGCCTTGTCATTATTCTACTTGAAACAGAACCATTAGAAGAAACAATATATCATATGATACGATGATAAGTTTTTAACGCTGTGAATGACTCACTTCATCCAAACACAACAACAGCTTTTTGAGAATACAGTTTATTACACATAATGATAATAATAATAAATAACAGCAAAACTTGATATTGTCATACAATAGCAAGCAAGATAAGATAACTGAAACAAAAAGAATGCCAAACAGCCAACGCACCAACCAATCAATTAGATCATGAAGAAAAAACATCAAATATAGGCAACAATGAAATCTTTCAGTGAAGTTATGCAAAAAGAAAATTCCTGACGACAGGATAACCAAAAAGGAATGAGAGAATGAATGCATAACTGATCAGAGAGCTTTTTTTCGGCTTATCAAATATCAAATAGCGCAACGTTTTCAGCTTTCTAAACAAATGTGTGCAAGTGTTCATAATGTGCAAAGTTCTTACATAATCTTCATTTACACAACTTTTCAAATATTCAGAAACATACCACAACGTCATCAAATGGTAACTGCATAACACAATTACTTCGATATCTCATACATGATAAACTTGGTAGTTAATTTGAAAAATCATAATCGAACGTCATTAAGACAAACGAAACAATCACACTACCTTCAGCTGCTTCCTTCTTTCAAAACTGGAGCTCACCTCTTGAATAAAACGAAATAAGGCTAGGGCTGGCTCTTGAAGCCAGCAAAAGAACTTTCAATCATTTGCGTAAAGAAAGTGATAAAAACATAACGATCTCATATATCTCGATGAATTTTAGCAACAAAAAAATTACAATGAAGTCAACATTATAAACAATAAAAGAAATGGAAACAAAATATTGGATAATTGTGTTGAATTATGAAGTGGAACGATGAAACAATGCATTGCGACATTCAATTGAATTGCTTTAAATTTTGTTTCCGTGTTTTGATCTGACAGTTGGAAGTAGATGAAAATGAGGATCGATTATGTGGAGGCGCTAAAATTTTACAGTGCGTACAAATGTCATGATTGATTCAGGCATGCGTTATGGCCCTCACAAAATCTGATATATTCACATTACCATGTGAATCATCGTGACCGGCCAGTAGCTGATCCACCTGAAAGTGACCAATTTGATTCAAACATTTTTCAACGTCGACGGTTTTTGACATTTCCGTTAATAATGTATACTTCCATATTATATGATAAAAATGGAAGTTATCATTATTATTATTATTATGGAAAAGGAAAAACATTCTCAAAAGATCTAAAACTGACAAAATAGAAACATATTTAGATGCATGCCATTTTATTGTTAATGATATGCATCGAAATGTAACATTGCAAGCGATCAATGAAATCAGAAGCTACAACAAATATCAACGATACCTCCTCATCTGACAATTTCTCACCCAAAGTCGTCAACAAATGTCTCAGTTCGGCCACATTTATCAGTCCGTTACCCTTAAAAATATCCACTTTTATTTCAATCTCTTAAAGAATAACAACAATGAACGAAAAGCTAATCGATTTCCTGTTCAGCTAAAAAAAACGATGATTCATGAGATATTATTATACAACAGCAAAAAGCAATAATGAAACCATCAAATGATAACAATAATAATATCGATCAAATTTCAAAGGTTGATCAGAATGAACGGAAGATGTGAGATGAAGTAGTTGATAGATATGAGTTACCTCTTTATCGAAATGCGACAAGCCCTCAACGAACTCCTCGAACGAGTGATTCTCTTTCGATTTGTTGACCGACTGATAAATCGGCACAAAGTCTTCGAACGTTATTCTCGTGTCTGGATCAGTCCAATGCGCGCAACACTTTTGAATTTCTGCGTTAGTCGGGTTCTGTCCCAGTGCACGAAGTACATCACCAACTTGAGTCACACAGATTTTTTCATCACCCTTTGAGAATCACATTCATTATTAATTAATGATGTGTTTATTCAATTTCACATGTATAACCTTGTCATTCATTAAAAATTGGAATTTCTAAATGTATAAAATACTATTATCAGTATACCCTACATAGTGTATATTTCCGACACAGAGCAAAACTTAAACTTCAAGAAATTAAAAAAGAGAATTTTGAAGAAAAAAACCTTTGAGTCGAAATAGCAGAATACTTCACGACACTCAGAGAGTTGTTCCTCGTTTGACGAAACCATTTTCGGAACTGGGATTTCCTCGATACCCTGGAAACAAAATGAATAAATTCAAAAGAATCAGTCATCAATAGAGAATCGAACGAAAAATCCGTATTCGAATGATCAATTAACGCACTAAACGTTCTTATGACAATTGTCAATATGAAAAAGTCAATTGTTAGAATAACGATAATAACAACGAGAGGAATAATACTTTAACTTCTTAAAGTTTAACGCTTCAATAATAACAACGATAACAATAATACTAATAATAATAACATCATAATACAGATGATGATCCTTAGGAATTCTGGAGTTGCACAAGCATTGAGATAGGAATGTGACTAATATTTACACATCTCACTGATCCACGTGGTGATACAATTTCAATGATAGAACGATGAAACTTCATTCAATGTAAAACATGAGAAACAATACGAAAAATGACTGTCCTCATGAAAATTTGAATATGAATATGCAATTCAATGTGAAAAAAATGAATACGAATGAAAATTGAAAAATAACTATCTTAAGAAAAATACGAAATTGAATATTAAGAACCGAAAAAANAAAAAAGCATGAGAACAATTTGAAAAACTGAAAACAAGACGAAGAAAACCTATAAAAGTAATACAGGTGCCAAAGCAAACGCAGATGATGTTTAGCTGCATACACTCGAATAGGCTGGCGTTTAGGTTTACTGATAGGTCTGCGAAATAATTTGAACTTACCTCTTGCTAAAATTCACCCGTATAAGCTAAATCCGCCCACCTTCGAACTCCTCCGTACACTTTTACATGTAACCTTATTGCGCTGAGAAATGATTTTTGTGAAGCGCAGAATACTCGGCTCTTTTGCACACAATTTGAACGCACCATCAGAGGTTTGTGTTGCACTATGCAGACGGTCAGAGAGAGATTAAAATAACGCGATCACAATTCACTTTAACGAGGGCAGCACAACACCTTCGACGCGCCCAATCGAATAATCACCACATAGGTTGTGTAGCAATTACAGCCGAATACCGAAACATTCTCAAGCAAAACCCACTGAAATGCTGAAATGCACCACGGAAATTCCCGAAAAAATGAACGCGTCTCAGCCAAAATCCACAGTCAAAAATCGTTGTTGTTGCAATCAACAAAATGGGAAGAAGATGAAGATGTTAACTTCACCACGTCGTTAACATTAATATTGAGAACACAAAAAGATCAGTGTTTAGTTTTGTANCTATAAACTCCCCACTAGTGGCAGACATCATTACTGTAAAATGTTGAGCAATCAAAATAAGGATTGATATATGACGATTGCAAATTGGTTTGGTTAACAAATAAATCAGTTTGAGTTGAAATAACGCATAACTTCAATTAGTCAGGAAAACAAACGTTTAATTCTCAATTTTTGGTCTTTTTAGTGAACATAAGTTGGTTAACACAAGACTGGAAGCCTCTTCATCCAGCATAATGATCAGTCAGCTTACTTCGGCTGAATGATATCGCTTTTCATCAAACAAATCTCAAGATTTGCTGTTGCAATCAGGAAAACAGGATGAAGATATTTAGAGATCAATACTTAATAAACTTCCAACATCGCGCTGAGTTGATAATAACAACTTCATAGACTAGACATGCCCACCATCTTAATATGATAATCACTTTTTGGGATTTGGGATAGCAAAGTGTGTAATCTATCTATGTATACATGAATGAATAGAACTGACTCTGAGGACGATTACGACGGATTCAAAACGAAACAACTTTGAATCGAAGGACATTATCTTTCAGCGCATAAATTGAGCTTTTTTTTCTCTTCTCACAGGAAGTTATAAAGATTTGCACATGAATTATGTCTGTAGTCCATACAGACGTGATTAAATTTACAGATAAATTTAATCTCGTTTACAGATAAGATAAATTTGATTTACAGATAAATTTACAGTAACAGTTAATGAGTATCAATTAGCACAACAACAACAACATGCACTCGTCCGAAATGTACAATATGGGCAGTATATTTCTCATGAAATATATTGTCCAATTTCACAGGTAAACTTTTAGAAATTTCACTATTCAAACGTGCAATGTTCTTAAAATAGTACCTCCATTATAATATTGCGTCCAATTGAATATACTAAATAAAGCAGATGAATTCTTTGAAGAAAACTGTATTTATATCAAGCCAATGAATTTGAGGTAGTAAAATTCTTGAGAAGAAAGAAACTTTTCGGGAGAAATAAATCAAAAATGAAAGTTTCGTAAGTTCATAGGTACAACTGAAGTGAATGAATTCAAATAAGAACAAGTGATCGTAAAACATCTGAAGTCACAGCACCACACCACCAACAATGTACAGTAAAGAAGCGTCCTCTTGATCAATCGAAAATATCGCCATTTTATCGGGAACAATCCCTTAATAAAGCATTCATTTAAACATTATTAGTACTGTCAACAAGAAAATTTTAGTGTTGCACTTGAAATTCAGCAAATAATCATCACGTTAGATTTCAGATCGATTCGGCGAATTTCATGATTTCACGTTAGACGGGTGATGAGCTCTTATAATGATTGCCAGTGAAGAATTACCGTCCAAAAGATACAGTGAATTAAAAAAAACAAAGCACTAACGAATTGGAAATGAATCGACTAGAAGCATCATCAAAACCATCACCGTTTGTCCAATAAGCAAAATTAAAAAGCAAAATAAAAACTGAAGTGCAAACGTCAAAAACAACAAACAATCAAAACACACTCACTCAATAAAATTCTCGAAATAGTAAAATTATGCAGCAAACTTCGCATCAAACCATTTACTGAACGAATATCAACACAAACCGCATGGTATTTATTCGGATCGTTCAGCAGATCGTTATTTCCATCTGTAATCTAAGAATATTTACAAACATGCTCACAATCAATTGGATGCAATTTGTCGTCAACAATGAAAGCAAAATGAGAGTTATTTTTAAACAATCTTTATTAATCTTACTATTTCGTTTAAAAAATTAATCTATATCTACTTTCAAGTGATTCGCTTCATACAGTTCAGATGCAAACTGATCACTTCGAGATTGTGTAAAATACTCACAATCGGCTACAACAGGTCTACGAATATACTCAATTCAACGGGCATATACACCACCTATGAGATGCTCTTCACAAACGAAACTTGTTTGCTTGAACGATAATAACACCAAAGAGTAACAGAAGCAACAAACCGTTATTATTATTGAGAGAAGAACACGTCAAATCCGAGAAATAGACACCAATTTGCGCCGTATCGACATCACCACTCAATTGCAACTGACCACTTTGATTACCACGGATCAGCTCAATACACATTAATATCACTCCCATTGAAATAATAATATTCCAGAAAGAATTATCCGAACAAAATGAAACTGAAACAGAAAAGAATCGAATGCAAAGAGATTCGCATTATTCACCAAATGTTTTATGCCCATATTTTTCAGCGATGAAATCAGACTGCGGATAGTGCCCAACGGCGGTAAATATATCGCTACCTGAAAAACCAATGACCCATTCATTCCATTTTCTAATTGGTATCTTTAAATTAAGTTTTCAAGCACAAACATCAAATCCATCAGGAACAAAACTGATAATGGACATAATTCCAGATTAATATACAAAGGATGAAATAAATCGACAGAGTGCGGCTGAGTCTTTTTTGGTATATTACTGAAGAGGGAAAAAAGTTATTTCCACAAAATAACGTTTCAATAGTAATTCAAAGTGTTGAATAGTTAGTAAGAAGAATGATAACAAAATTAGATTTATGAGAACGTTTTGGATGATTGCAATAACGAAATGAACGTTTCTCATCAAGACATCAAAATGATTGAACAAGAATAAATAATTCGAAGATATACCGTGGCACCGTCAATATTAGGTATGGCGTAGTGCTTCCATTGTCGAGTTGGAATTAAATCCACAGGCATTTCGTGAACAACTCCAAAACTCTTTTGCTCAACTTTCACATGCGGTGTATTTCCAATTTTTGTTAATCGCATCTTTGTGGATTGCTCTTTCGGGTTTATACTCCTTCAGAAGACCAATATTTGAGATATTTGCGGAAGTTTCATTCGCACATAAGAAATTAATTTCGAAATTAACGCTCATNAATTTACCACATTATTTCCATGCTAAATTCATGAATCCACTCGTCAGTTTTTTCCGCAACTTTGTCCGACAAAATGGGAAGAAATGAAATAAGAATCGACTAAACAGATCGTTTGCAACAACTAACATTCACTAGTGAAATTTGCATGAAAACTCCATTCGAACGAATCAAATCGGCATTTATAAACGACACCGATGTGGACGTGATTCGTAACGTAACTTTCTCTTTGCACAATCGTGACACTGTTTCATTTATTTCTATCATCAAGAAACAACATCATCAAACACAATAATTTCGATTGGCAGTTACATCAACAAATTGAATATTTTAAAGATGAGAATTTTGAATTGAATGAGGTATGCAACGATAACAAGAAAAGAGGCAAAAAGGACAACGATGAGAACAAATTAATTATAATTAATTTGTATTCGAAACCAGTGTTTCAAATTGTTGTGTTGAGCTGTTGTGCTGTCCGGTCAATAACTCAAAAACAATCTCAGACGAATGATGATCGCTTTTAGCGACTCAAACCAGCCATCATAGACAAACATTTCAATTCAAACTAAAAGAAATTCAACTAACTTGAAAACGTATCTGCAGCTCCTTGATCGATGAGAACAGCCAAAAATTTCATCTGAAATTACTTTAAATAAATCATTTGAATTCGTTCCGTTTCCTCAAGTTCAGTGCGCAATAATGAATACGAACGATGTAGAGCGCGATAAGATAACACGATGGCATCGAATACGAACGAGCGCTACTGCATTGATCAATTGCAACAATGCCACGAACAACAACAACAAACACATTTTAGAAAACCTGATGTGAGGAAGTTTTATCAAAATCCAATCGTATCTAACTGCTCAGCAACAACCTCGAATAAGTACAAGAAAATGATTCCAGCTTCTCAGAAAGACTTTTCTACATCCAATTCAATCAGTTCAGTAAAAACAAAATATATATCCACATCCGACTCAATCAGTTCAATAAAAACAAAACAAATCCATATCCGATTCAATCCGTACCTCGATATCACAACTGCACTCACATCAGCAATTATTCATCATTGAAAAATGGTATTGTGCCTTGTGAGAATACGATGTTCCAGTTATCCTAACGATGGTAGTGCAGAATAAATGTACACAAACAATAAGATGCAACTATGCGAAATCAAGAACGACCGCGACGCTCAATTGCAATCAACATCGATCAAAGGAATTCCAACAAAAACAAAATAATCCCTGAGGATTTAAAACTTAAAAAAGTAATCGAAATTAACGACTAAATAATGAGAAGAGACACAAATTGCATTTATTGAGCAACAGTTCAATCATCTTGCACTTCTTCTAATCCACCCTCCTAAAATTGAAACAATTAATGAAATAGTCATATCTGAAGGGATTTATTCAATAAGCTAACATTTTATATTTCAGAGAAATTGCACTCAAAATTGAAATGACAGCGAAAAATTGAAATCGGATTGAAATTTGGAGACGTTTGATTAAAATTGTTTTCTAAAGGCAGTCAGTTTTGCCATACATCTGGAATGATAGCAAAGTTGTTTAGAGTAATCAGTGATAATGGCGGTATATGGATAGGTCTTAGTTTCGAAGGAAATGAAGAGAATACATACAACGATTCTGTACGATACACTCCCGATTGCACCAAACGGATTTTTAGTCACATGAACACTTCTTTGCGATGAAGGCACATCTTCTGCTGGACATAACCATAACCGAATCGTTGGATAGTGACACCTCAATCAAGAAATACTGAATTGTCAGTAAATAAACAAACAGACAAATATTCATATGTGCAAAATAAATCAAACAAACACTTATGATATCANAACAATGCATCGAAATCTCAAGGGAAAACGAATGTCTCAATAAAATTTGAATACCACGAAGTGCCAAGCGCCGAGGCTAAATAACTGGACTCATAACCGGAATGTTCAGATCGGAATCGAATCGCAACATGATTCACAACGACCACCTGAATTACGCAAACTTATGCAAAGGTGGCCGCGAGAATCAACTGATTGCATATTGAACAAATGGATGAAAAAATCGACTGCAATCAAAGTACCACACAACGATATTCAATGGCAATCTTCGCAAGAATTCTCGAGTAATCAACAATCGTTTGACGTAGCTGTTCACTCTCACCACGAATCGGCATCGCTACACTATCAACAATTACCAGTCCAATCTGCAAGTTCAACATATTTATCAAGACAAAAACAACTGTTCATTATTTCAAGCTGAATCAACCTTTGTTTGTAATTAACGCAAAAACTATCTGATTTTGATCAACACTGCTATATTACTGAAATGCTACAGGGTATTTGAGGAGAGTGAGAGAGCATTCGTAATCCCGATTGACGATGTGATACACGAAATCTCTGAGGGAGAAAATGATCAACGAGGGCGATCTCAGTGATTTCAAAACAAAATTTTTGAACCTGAATATCTATAGCAATGAAAGAAAATCGAACATTTTGATTGTTGGTGATAAAGTTTGGTAAACGGTGAAGAGTGCTTGTTAACTGAACGGCATCGTGACATCTAGCGTGATGGATACGGCGTAAATAGGTGTCGTTCGATTCAGACTCATGCAAAATGCATCGATTTGTCATATCGCAAACGCGTTTCGTCGAGAATCCACCTTCTGTATCCACATAAACACACTCGTTGTTTCGTTCATGTCTCTGTACATTCACCGCTAACTGCATGCTGTAAAATTCAGTTCTGTTGATAATTTACACGCAGTGTTGAATGATTGAAATGAGTCTAAATCATTCAGCTTACACTGAATAAATATAGTACGCTTATCAATTTGCAGATCAGAAAGCAGCTCGAAATAGCTCTTCAGCTAACTTGTTATCTCATCAGTTAACTTATTATCAGCTCCCTACTCTGGTGTCAGCTTATTATTCAGAGCTGGATCAACGTTTGAGCGAAAAACAACGAACGCCTAACGCTGAATCTGAGCACAGGGTTCGAGCTTGGAGCATGGATTACTTTTCCATATTGACTTTAGCTACAGCTGAACTGGTTTTTAGCAAATGTCAACGTCTAGTTCTTAGCAAATCACATATTTTATTGGTGCCCAATAAAGATGGTGAATTAATCATAGAATGAAACTGACCAAAATTGTGTCTTTCCAACACCAGAAAGACCAACAATTTCGTTGAAAGTGCCCGGAGCGAATCCACCATCAAGAAGGGCATCCAGTCTTGGTAGACCAGTCGAAAGAAGTTGACTTTCGTGTTCTTTCATGAACAATTCTTTTGCCGTTACGAACTCCATATTATTACATAGCAAATTTCATGGAGGTGTTGTCAAAGAACTGCAGCAGATACTCAATTTGGATATATTTTGAATGAAGCACGTAAAATGAAAAATTTCGTGTCATCGATATGAGGAGATATAAATGTGAACCATTGATGA